GTACATTTTTTAGGATTTTTGTTAATAAACAGTCTTTGCTCTAGCTATGTGTTATAAAGAATTATCAGTTGTGTGTTCAATTGCATCTATCTGCTGATTTCAATATGTACTGTGATGTTTTGGGGTAGGTACCAAAGCTATTCAACTCAACAAGAGGCTGGCTATCAAATTCCAGGATCTTGACCTGTTGCTGCTACTCTTTTTCTATATGCAGTAATAGGGATGGGATGGCAATAGGGACACCATGCTATGTGAGGATCCTCAAACCTGGGATTTGCTAGTATATGGGTTGGACATATAGTTACTTGTAGAGTTTGATTAGCTAGCATAGCTGTAAAACATAATTATGCATGAAGGTTGTCAGTATTAACACTTGCATAGAAATCTGTGCACAAAAAGTTGCAATATTGTGAAGGGTAGCCCTACTCAAGTAGATATTTTCTTCATCTTCTCTTGATCCAGGCAAATAAACACAGAGACTTGAAATACCCAGGTTTGCATTGCTCACCTGGCCCTCTCCCAAACAAGTGCTGCAGGTTAATTCTTGTTGCCCTTGCAGTAACAAAAAACATTATTAATATGTATTTACACTACTCTCTGTCTTCATTACCCTGACACACCAAAATAAGTTTGGTAACTCCAAATATAGAATCGTTTCACTGTTTCATATAATGTATATTTATCTCTAAATCTAAAATAGATTGAAATACAAAAGAAGAAAACCTACTGAAAGCCACGAGATAAACTTTCATTTGTTGTATTCAGTAGACTGGGAAATAATGGTGCATGGCTCCTAATCTGTGGTTTTATTTGCACCACCTCATTTTCACATGGTAACACTGGAAATAGAAATGGGAGCTAGTACAGTTGGCTGTCTCTGATCACCAGTTCAGTTTCTTTTTTGTTTATTTAAGTCAATGCCCAATTAATAAAATTTCTGAAATACAAATTGAATACATTTGGAAACATCCCTTCGTGTTCCTCTATCTTGGCCAGGTCCTGGTGTCCTGCCCCCCCCCCCCTTACTAGTTCTCACACACACACCACTTTTATATCTAGATGAAAGATCGAACAAACTATAGAAAGTTTCAAATTTGGACAGAGGATCAATCGATTGCATTTCTTAAATGCCTCTACAATTGATCAGTATCCTTACATAAGTACCACATTTCTCCCTTCATTAACAGATATGGAGATGGTTACATTGTCACCATGAAAATGAAGGCCCCAAAACCTGGATTGCCTCCTGACCTGAGCCTGGCTGAGCACTTCATACAAGTGAACTTCCCAGGCAGCGTACAGAGGGAAAAACACTACAACATGCTTCAGTACCAGATATGCTCTTATTCACTGGCCAAGATCTTTCGCTTGATTCTCTCCAACAAGGACGTCCTAAATATTGAGGAATACTCTGTCACCCAGACCACCCTGGATCAGGTAAATTTAAACATATACCGGGAATGGAAATGATCCATCAAATAAGTGCAAACAACAGAACTTGAAACCAGCCTAGTTTTTGCTTTGACAATATTTAAAATGAAGGTTATATGCATCTAGAGTTGAAGCCAAAGCACATTTATCTGAAACTGCAGAGTAAAGGAGGACAAGTACTGATTTAAAGGGAAGATAATTATAACCAATAAATTTTAGTGAGAAAATATCTGCAACCTTTACCTGGCTAGAAGCCTGATTGTGAATTAAGAAGGTGTAAATCAGACTTGCAGGAATCACAACTGACTTCTTTAGTTGTTGCAGAGGTTGGAAGTCTGTTGGTTATGCAATGGGTTTTTTTTTATCATGTCAGAAGAGGCTTGAGAAACTGCAAGCTGCTTCTGGTGTGAATGAATTGGCTGTCTGCAGAGATGTTGCCCAGGGGACTCCCAGATGGGTTACCATCCTGTGGGAGGCTTCTCTCATGTCCCTGGATGGAAAGCTGGAGCTGACAGATGGGAGCTCACCCCATCTCGTGGATGCGAACTGCCGACCTTCAGGTCAGCAGTTGCGCCGGCACAAGGGTTTCACCCAATGTGCTACTGCAGCTCCATGGTTGAAATCCCATCCAACGTCTTGTAAGTGGTATTTCTGCCAAATGTGGTCCAGTGAATGAAAACACATCCTGCATATCAGATATTTACATTACAATTCATAACAGTAGCAAAGTTATGGTTATGAAGTAGCAACAAAAATAATGTTATGGTTGGGGGTCACAACATGAGGAACTATATTAAGGGGTCACAGCATTAGTAAGGTTGAGAACCACTGATCTAGAGTGTCGTAAGGGAAAGGCAGTTCTGATTGTACACTTTCCCTGTTTCCCTCCCATAGGTGTTTGTGAACTTTGCTAAACAGCAAATGGAGGATGAGGAGATTCCTCTACACCCTCGAGCTGCCGGAGCTAATAGAGAGGTGAAGGTGACCCCTGCTTACTGTCGGCAGGCAACGGCTTAGAGAAGCTGTGAAGCCACTGAAGCAAAATCTCTAGCAGCTGTGCTTAAGGACTCTTGCTGGGCAGATGGGTGTATTCATTTAAAGTTGGTCAGAATTCTCCTGTGATACAACCGTCATTACAAAATACAGAAGTCCAGTTTGCATGTTCATCACTTCCTGGTTTCATGCTGAACTAGGCAAGGGCAAACTTCGGTAGGCTGTTAGGAACTGTGGGAGTTGAGGTCCAAAACACCTGGAGGGTTGAAGTTTGCCCATGCCTGTGCTAAGCCAAAAGTAAAGAAACCACACAGATCTTACCTTTTCTTTAAAATGTAATTTACATTGTGTACACCATTAGGATTTCATACCAATCAAGCACAAGTCTTCTCTCAAATCATTTGCACTTCAGCGTAACAAATGTTTAAGCTATAACTAAACAAGACCCAATTTCCCTTTTTATAGTTTCCAATTATGAAATGGTAAAATTTTATGGACAGTAATGTAAAGAAAACTCAGAACGTTTTATTTCATTTGAGGGGGAAACAATCTACTGTACTACAGGTTTATAGATTCACAGGAAACATTTAGTCTCCCGTGGCCTTCATTACATTTCTAGCACACTTCTGTTGTCTTATGGTCTCAACATGGTAGGAAAAAACGTCAGCGGGTGACAAAGATTTCAAATCTTGGCTCACTTCAGTCTAATGAAAGTGATCAACAGTGGAGTTCACATGTGCCGTTTTCCCCACTGTGAAGACTCTGATATGAAGATTTAGTCTAAGCCTAGATCATCATTGTGTTTAACTGTGTGATGTCAACAGGAGAAACCATGTGAAAGAGATTCCTAAGGTGCTACTGACACCTTTTTAGAATCCCATAGAATGAGACTCGCACTACTTGTTAGATAAGTTTCAATGTTGTAAGTTGCTCTGAGCACTTATTGACAGTAAATATTTTATATGAATGAATTTCTAGGGTTTTTCCCATTAATAGTGTTGGAGAGGAGTGGATTCAAATCCATTAATTTCATGTTATGGCTGTTGTCAAGCCAGGAAAGGCAATAGCATGTATATAGAGAGCGTCCTCATGAGATACCTGAGGGGAAGACAAAACCTTGTTTTCTGTTGTCTCAATGGAGAAGTCTTGAGTTAATGTGCAACTGCTTACCTGGAGAGGAGACACTGATCAGTGATGGAAAGCTTCTCAGTGATGGAAAACTTGTTTAAAAAACAAAACAAAACCAATTACTTAAAAAAGCAATGGGGTTTCTTAATTTGGAAGCCTTGAAGTATGGCGGAAATCTAGAGCTAGAACATTTCCAGCTTCTGCTTCAAGGCTTCCAAGGGTTGGTTAGATGGCCTGCAAGGTTCCTGCCAACATTTTGATTGTATTTTGTAAGTCACTTCCATTTTAAATAGAAAAATGATTAATAAATGCATATTACAATCCAGATTGGACCTCAAGACATTCATTGTGATTTGCTATTTTCCAGTACCTTAGGTAACATCTCCTAAACTACCTTCTCTCAAGGAGCATTGGCCATGTAACAAAATGTATGCTTTCATATTTGTGTCCGATTGTATTTGCTGTGCATACCAGAAACTTTTGTCCTATAATGCAAGGTAACTACAGAGTTCTGGGTCAGGGGTGTACAAATGTGCTCCCTGCAAAGGTGTTGTTGCAATCCCTGATTTTCCCACATGTCCTCCTCAACTATCTTTGTTTGGCAAAAAAGCAGGGAGAGGGAGGATGGAGTGAGAGAAAGAAGGAAGTCAGAATGGGAGGGAGGGAGGAAAGAAGACAGAAAGGGAGGGAGGAAAAAAGAAGTAAACAGAAAAGGAGGGAGGGAGGGAGGAGGGAAGGATGGACCACGGTTAGCACAGCTGTTTAAACAGCCAGCTGCAGAAAATCTTGCAAACTGGAAGGTTAGCAATTCAAGCCATCAGTCAGAGTGAGCTCCAGCCATCATCCCCAGTTTCTACTTACCTGGCCATTCTAAAACAGTAATGTGAGTATTTCAATAGGTACCGCTTTGGCGGGGAGGTAAAAAGGTGCCCATGAAGACATGTTGGCAATTCAATCAGGAATGTGTCCATGGACACCAAGCTCCATGGCATGGAAAATGGAACAACAGCACCTCCCCATGGCCGGAGTCGAGCACAGCCTCCAGATTCCAGAGACAGAAAAAGATGGGAATCTTTACCTCTGTTTATGTACTTTCTGTCTTTGTTAATTCTATAATGGCACTGAAAGTTTGCTGTATATGTATTCTGTAGTCTGCTATGAGTCCCCTCAGGGAGATAAAGATTATGATTATGATTATTATTAGGAAGGAAAGAAGAAAGACAGAAAGAAAGGAATGGAGGGAGGGAGGGCAAACTGCCAGGAACAACCTTTTGTCTTTTGAAATGGGATGTAAGAACTCCCCAAACTTTTACGTTTTTTACAAAAATATCCATTTACATATGTTTCTTTCAAGTGCAGCAGGATTGTTTTGCCAGGAATTGAACAAAATCAAAATTTTCATTAACAAGCTCTAAATTGTCTTCCTACTTGTAATTATTTGGACTGAGTTCAAAATATAAGCTCGAGTTTATTGCGTATTCTCTTTACAAATAGTGGAAAAATTCTGTACATTGTTTCTAGACAAATAAATCTTTGTTGCTAAAGTCCTACATAAAGTCTGAGACAATATTGTCCCCATTTCTTCAAATGATTTCTCCAGAGCCTTCATGAATCATACAGACCACTATAGGCAAAATCATAACCTGGGAGAGTTAGACGGTTCTTTCCAATTTGGGAGACGTGGAATATTCTCTGAGGACTACGATGCAGCTTCAGTCTGTCTGCTGAACAAGTCTGCATACGTCCCACTCTTGTGCATATTTCCTTGGAAGTAATTTCCCAAGACTAAAAAACACAGATAATCATGTGACACAGTCCTGGAAAATGAAATAGTATGGTCCCAACTGTTATCAAATTATTACCCTTAACATAAAATACTGGCTTTTCTCCATTCTAATAGCCTCTCTCACTAACACTACTATTGACATTTTAAAAGTATTTGCAAGAGCAAATGCCTTCTTGAGATAGTCCATGTAACTGTCTGTGCCTTGGCTATTATATGCAATCCCAACTGGAGACTTCTTTTTTGCATATCTCCCAGAATATGCAATTTGACGCATTTCCAGACATGGCAAACTGACATACTTCCTCCCTTAATTTTTTTGAAGCCTCGCCAACCAGACTGAGTTAGCTCCAAACGTTCTTCACTACCAAGAAGAAAACCCGGGAGGGGGGCGGGGAAGGGAATTAATACTGAATTTCTGAAAACAAAAACACAAAACCCTGAGATATGTGGTCTTTGAACCCATGGTACTTCTCATAACAATAATTTTAGCATGCACTCAAATATTTCATTTACATTATCATTTCATAACAGTATCTTCTTTTTCTGCAGGTGTCTCAGTACGGTCCATTGACTTTGCTTCCTTAAAATTCAGGATGGGAGACAAAAAAAAACGTCTTGTTCTTCATAGTAAGAAAGGAATGATGGGCATTCTAAGGCTAGGGTAATCCTTAAATTCTCGTATATAGGTGCCATGTTTGTCTTTTGCCCAGACTGTCATCTGAATGAAACAGAGCAAGGTGAACAATCCCACTGCGAAAACACAAAGAGAAATACGGTCAGATTTTATAAAATACCCAAGTCAACATAATACTTTAAAAATTGAAAGCTAAGATTGTTATTCACCTGGTACGCACTGAGTCAAGATAGTAAAACCAATCCATGTGCCCAGCTGCAACAGCCAAAAAAAATTCAGAATTATTCACCTGATTGAAACTGCCAAAAGAACCAATGATTACATAAAATAGAGCTACTATTTGTACTGCTGTTCACTGCTTTGAGTATCTTTAACAGCAGAAAGTGGTACAAAGATAAATATAGTTATTATTGTTCCACTATCTGTTTAACAAACAAAGCAGTTGTGCACCTATTCAGAACATCAATCAGTATTTTTTCAGTAAGTGCATATAATCCTCACAGCCCTGCAGAGAGATAGCTAGACATTTCTGCACGCACCTCCTTCAATTCTGACAAGAGACAAATGTAACAGTCAGTTATTTTGGGTTTGCTTCACATATCAGCTTTTAAAACCAAATGGAAGAAGGATGCTCTGGGAAAAAGACAGTCCGATCATGCACCCCACTGGATAGTCAAAAATACAATTTGTCCATATCTACTTAGCATGCCTCCAAGAACTATAGGTAGGCGGCTACACCTCTTCCGATGTACGAGGGTTATCCAGAAAGTAAGATTACAAGATTTTTTTAATACAAAGAATGAATATATCGTACATGGATTGTAGCATATGTATTACATTATTATTCCACATAATCACCATTCCGTTCAATACATTTTGTCATCCGTGGGATGAGTTTTTGATGCCTGTGTCATATAAGTTTCCCTCAGCCTTTTTCAGCCAGTTCGTCACTTCAATTTTCACCTTGTCGTCATCAGAAAAGTGTTTTCCACCAAGGTGTTCCTTCAATTTAGTGAACAGATGATAGTCACTGGGTGTGAGATCCAGGCTGTGAGAGGGGTGGCTTAAAACATCCCAACCAAATGAAGTCAACAACTCGTGTAGTGTGAGTGGTGTGCGGACGCACATTGTCATGAAGGAGACAGACTACTGCCATCAGCATGTGCTATGTGCCTTTTAACCTTACTTTCTGGATAACCCTCGTATTTAAAAAGAGTTTCCCCTCCAAGAAGTTAACCCAATAATTTATTCCAAATCTCATTAATTTCAAACCACAATTTGGAAAATACAACTTCAGACCTCAGACATCACAACCTCTGTGGATGCCTGCCATAGATGTGGGTGAAACGTCCGGAGAGAATGCTTTTGGAACATAGCCATACAATCCGGTAAACTCACAGCAACCCAGAAAATACAAGTACTATGCATGTTCTATTTGTTGTCCTATTCTCCTTCCAAAGCAACTGAATCGACTGCAATTCTGGGTTCTGTATCTGAATGAATGTCGGGTGTCAGGACTTAGAATCCAAACATATAGGGATACATATTGCCTCTTCTATTAAGTGCATATTTATACAGAAATTATATTCAAGGTGTTTCCGGAGGTATATTTTTTATCAAACACAATATTTAAAGACACCATTTCACTTTTGCCATTGCTTTTACCATCTTTTTCTTTCCACACTGAATCAGTTCATGAAATAAAGGTGGAATAGCTATACCATGTCTTTTGGTTAATGCTAAAAGCTATCTATCAAGAAGTGCTTTGTGTTGCAGTTCCTTTGATTAATGTACATTCTTGTACTCAAAGATGTCAAAACTTCCTCTATATGCAAATGGAGAATTTATGTCATTTTACAGTATTCGTAAGCAGACAACCAACTGCAGGGTCTACCCTGCCTTTTGACAGACCTCTGAGATTTACCAACTGGAGCCTGGTGCAAAGAAAATAATCCCCAGAATTAAAAATTTAAACCCATGAATTTGTTCAGAGCATTAGCATTAAATAGAGCTCAGTCTTTCTACACAAACACCAGCTCATAAATATTTCAGGCTTCATTTCAGCATTTTTGCTGAGATTGTTAAATAATTGTGAATCAGACCAGTAAATCCATGCTGTCTGTTCCTAGGAGGCAGATCCAACTTCAGTATATTTTGATAAGATGGAGAATTTGAATGGCACATAACAATGAAATAATAAAACCAAGTAATACTTACAGAATGGATCTAAGATAGTCCACCTATAAGGATGATGTGTCCTAACCACTCTAAATATGTCTCTCTGCCTATTTCTTCATTGAGAATTTACCCTCTTAGAAGCTGCCCCACAGCAGGTGTTAGAATCCCATTAGTTTATACACACATTTGCAAAGCGTAGACTAGACAGCCAATTTGGATTGCAATTCAAACCTTCAAGAGCCGGCAAAGTGTTGAAGTTTGCAGCAATTAAAAATATACAGCCAGCAACCAAAAATAAATCTCACATTATTGCCTGATGATACTTTTAAAAACAAGTACTTACCTCATAAGTATAGTTGGGGCAGGACACAAAATAAAATAGCCATGTGAACGGATTCTTTGTTGGGTAAGGAATCTTACAGGTCTTGGATCCTGTCAATTAAAATGCCCACACAGATATTTCAAAATGGTATCTTTTCTGGCTTATCTTTTCACACTGTCCAAATTTTCCTATGGTATACGGGCTTAATGAGTAACTTTAATAATCTATAGCTACTTGTTTTGCTCGTGTCTTGCATCTGTATAGATATGTTCACTGCAAATCAAGAGAAAATTAGATATTTTATGAGGCGTTAGATAAGAAATAATAGTTTTTCACTTCTGTTGAAGTAGTTCTGTGACTGTTTTACAGTGACATCTGAGGCTGGATCTAAGCTACCCTATATCCCAGTATCTGGTCCCAGATTATCTGGCAGTGCAGACTCATATAATTCAGTTCAAAGCTGATCTGGAATCAGATTCTGAGATACAGGTCAGTGTAGATCCAACCTGAGGCAGCATCTGATCCAAAAACAAAAGTCCAAAAGAACATCAGACTATGGCTGGATCTATATCCCAGGATCTGATCCCAGATTATCTGGCAGTGCAGACTCATATAATTCAGTTCAAAGCAGATCTGGGAATCAGATTCTGAGATATAGGGCAGCACAGAACCAGCCAGAGAAGCTTTCATTGCTTCTAAAACTGGCAATTCAACAAGTGCCCCAAGTGCCTCTTCTGGTCAAGGCAGGAAAAATTAAATAAATACATAAATACTTCTAAACTGAATGAAATCCCAAAACAGCATAGTGGTCAATGAGTGTTGTGGGTGTTCAGAGCTGACTAAAACCCTAAACAGAAGTATTTCAGACTAACATGCCCTTCTAGTTCTCCTTTGCTGCATGCCTAATTTCCGAAGTTTTCTAGTCAATATTGTAAAACTCCAAGCTTTAAACAAACTCCCTCAAAGACCCTTTTAAATCCCATACATACATGTGCTCCTTTACTTGAGCAACCTCTAAAAATAAAACAAGAGAAAGGCACTCAGCTTTTACCATCTCTTCTCAGATTACTAAGCGCAACATGGATGGAAAAGTTTCCAGCTTCACAGGTCTGTCATGAGAAAAAGAGGGAAGGAGGGAAGACAATGAAAACATGATCACTCAAGATTTATTTTCCCCAATCCAACAAGGCTAATCCTTAAGCAGATCTTCCAAAACAACAAACAAACCCCACTCTGTGTTTCCAGATCCCATTTTAATATATAGTCTAGGAGGATGCTATATGCCCATCCCCATGCACACAGCAATGCTTCTACAATGTCTACCTCAAGTTAAATATCCTAAATATACTTCATCTTCTTTGATCTTGCAAGTTAAGCTGCACCTAAAATGCCCATCAAAACAGGCTTTCCTATTTTCCTCTAAGGCCCCTTTTACACTGTCCTATATCCCCGGATCTGATCCCAGATTATCTGCTTTGAACTGGATTATATGAGTCTACACTGCTAGATAATCAGGGATAAGAAGATAATCCAGGATCAGATCCTGGGATATAAGAGTAGTGTGGACGTCTGCAATGTATTGTCCTGTTTATGAAGGAGAAAGAGAGAAGGGTAGATCAGGAGAAAAAGACTACCCACTGCTTTTTTTTTTTTTTGTCGTGTCAGGAGCGACTTGAGAAACTGCAAGTCACTTCTGCTGTGAGAGAATTGGCAGTCTGCAAGGACGTTGCCCGGGAGATGCCCAGATGATTTAATATTTTTATCATCCTTGTGGGAGGCTTCTCTCATGTCCCCGCATGAGGAGTTGGAGCTGATAGAGGGAGCTCATCCGCCTCTCCCTGGATTTGAACCTGCGACCTGCCGGCACAGGGGTTTAACCCACTACGCCACCAGGGGCTCCCCCTACCTACTGCTACCCTTCTGCCCTATTTCAACTCCTCAGACTCCTCCTAAAAAAACATTCCCCATTTGGGTTGCTCTGAATTTTCTGGGCTTTATGGCCATGTTCCAGAAGCATTCTCTCCTGACATTTTGCCCACATCTATGGCAGGCATCCTCAGAGGTTGAGGGGTCTGTTGGAAACTAGGCAAGTTAGGGTTATATATCTGTGGAAGGTCAAGGGTGGGAGAAAGAACTCTTGTCTGTTTGAGGCAAGTGTGAATGTTGCAATTGGCCAGCTTGATTAGCAATTAATAGCCTTGCAACTTCAAAGTCTGGCTGGTTGCTTCCTGGGGGATCTCACTTGCCTCAATTAGACAAATGTTTTTTCTTCTACCCTGGACATTCCACAGATATATAAACCCCATTTGCCTAGTTTCCAACAGACCTCACAACCTCTGAGAATGCCTGCTATAGATGTAGACGAAACGTCAGGAGAGAATACTTCTGGAACATGGTCATACACCCCAGAAAACTCACAGCAACTCAGTGATTCCAGCCATGAAAGCCTTCGACAACACATTCTCATTTGGTTCCTTAAGCTATGGAAAGACAATCTGAAGGCTGTTGCACTCCATGGTCACAGACAGCATTTTGATATTTCTGCCACCATGGAGAAGTCCTGTCAGCAGGACAAAAGAAAAGGTGCTGCATTCATTTCCTCAAACCATATTTACCTCCACAATAAACAAGGGGAAACCCATTTAAAATAGCTTTAGGGCTGGCTCTGTGGGTTAGTAGTGTGTCTGAAAGCTTAGGATACTCTGTACTGTATATCCAGAGCCTCTCCCCAAACCACACTGTGCTTCAGTCAGACCACTTTTTACCTGTTCCGTCACTGGTGCTCTGATATATTTTTCTTTAAATAATCTATATCCTGTTTTATTCCTAGCAGGAGCCCCAAGTTAAGAATTACTAAACTTTCTATAAGGACAGGAAGTGGAGGAATCAGAGATCATACCTCCTACAAGGTTGCAGGAGATCCAAACTATGTTGTGGTTCCTGGGATACTGTTCCAAGGACCACAGGGTTGTAATCTAAGGGCCCTTCTACACAGCCATATAATCCAGAGTATCAAGGCAGAATAACCTACAATATCTGCTTTGAACTGGGTTATCTGAGTCCACACTGCCATGTATCCCAGTTCAAAGCAGATAATGTGGAATTTTATTCAGCTGTGTGGAAGGGGCCTAAGAATGATTTGCTTGCTCCATTAAGGTCGAAGGTACACAAAAAAGGCATTCCTTATATATGATTGTTTTAAATCCGCAATATACTTACAAAAACCATGATCAGCGCAAAGTTGACTTGTTTTTGTCCGTAAGCTACAAAAGAAAAGTTTTATGAAAGGCATATTTAGCACGCAACAATCCCTACTGGAATAATACATTCAAAATATTGTTCTAATTTATTTTGCAACTTACAGGGTGGTGTGTAAAGAGGGTGGTTAATATAGTAAGCAAGCCAGGCAGCAAATCCCCAATAATACGCACAGTTCTGTAAAACAAAGCATTTATGGGTGTGTTAATATTTTGCATTATGTAGAGCCGTTGTCAACGTTTTATCTTCGTACATGTTTGTATTGGCACATCTGTGTATGGAAATATGCAATATGCAAACGCACATTTAAGGCTGGATCTATACTACCATACAATGCAGATTATCAAATTCACATTATCTCCTTTGAACTGGGGGCCCTTCCACACAGGCCTATATCCTAGAATATCAAGGCAGAAAATCCCACATTATCTGAGCGTGGACTCAGATAACCCAGTTCAAAACAGATATTGTGGGATTTTCTGCCTTGATATTCTGGGTTATATGGCTGTGTGGAAGGGCCCTGAGGCAACTTGGTGAAATCAAGGGAGAATAGATAAATAAATAAATCACAGATTATCTGCTTTGAACTGGATTAAATGAGTCTACACTGCCAGATAATCTGGGATAAACAGATAATCTGGGATCAAATCCTAGGATTCAGCCCTAGTGGTCTGCCTAAATACAATAAAAGCACCAGATTCCCTCTAATCTTGGAAGCCATGTAGCCCTTGGAAGCCCTGGTTAATGCTTGAATGGGAGACTCCCAATGGATACCAGGTGCTGAAAGCTCTATTTCAGAGGAAGAAATGGGCAAAACCAGCTCTGTGTATTCCATGCTTAAGAAACCCTTTTAAATCTATTGGGTTTCCTTATATTGACAGGCAACTTGAAGGCCTGTACACACACAAGTACAGTAGAGTCTTGCCTATCCAACATAAACGGGCAGGCAGACCATTGGATAAGTGTAAATGTTGGATAATAAGAAGGGATTAAGGAAAAGCCTATTAAACGTCAAATTACATTATGATTGGGTTGTTGTAGTTTTTTTCGGGCTATATTGCCATGTTCTAGAGGCATTTTCTCCTGACGTTTCGCCTGCATCTATGGCAAGCATCCTCAGAGGTAGTGAGGTCTGTTGGAACTAGGAAAAAGGGTTTATATATCTGTGGAATGACCAGGGTGGGACAAAGGACTCTTGTCTGTTGGAGCTAGGTGTGAATGTTTCAACTGACCACCTTGATTAGCATTTGATGGCCTGGCAGTGCCCGGGGCAATCTTTTGTTGAGAGGTGATTAGATGTGCATGATTGTTTCTCCTCTGTTGTTTTGCTGTTGTAATTTTAGATACTGGTAGCCAGATTTTGTTCATTTTCATGGTTTCCTCCTTTCTGTTGAAATTGTCCACATGCTTGTGGATTTCAATGGCTTCTCTGTGTATTCTGACATGGTGGTTGTGAGAGTGGTCCAGCATTTCTGTGTTCTCAAATAATATGCTGTGTCCAGGTTGGTTCATCAGGTGCTCTGCTATGGCTGACTTCTCTGGTTGAAGTAGTCTGCAGTGCCTTTCATAGTTCCTTGATTCGTGTTTGGGCAATGCTGCGTTTGGTGATTTTACAGATTAAGCACCAAAAAATCATGTTTTGCAACAAATCGACAGAAAAAAGCAGCTCAATACACAGTAACGTTATGTAGTAATAACTGTATTTCTACATTTAGCACCAAAACATCGCAATGTATTGAAACAGCTGTGGATCCGGACAGGAGGAAGACTGCATTGGATAATATAGAACATTGGATGGGCTAAGGTTGGATAAGCGAGACTCTACTGTAGTAGCACAGTGGATCATATAATCCCTTCCCTGCAACTAAATCCCCATCTACACTGCCATATAATCCAGTTTCTGTATCCAGATTATCTGCTTTGGTCTGAACTATATGGCAGTACTGTAGACTCATATAATCCAGTTCAAAGCAAAGTCTGGATTCAGAAAACTGGATTATATGGCAGCGTAGATTGAGCCTCAGATAGAAGATGCCAGAAGGACATTTTATTCCCCAAACTTGCAATGTTCTTATAGTTTTATTTTTACAGTAATGTGTTAAAAGTTAACTGTTAGTTTAAAAGGGTATTTAATCTGTCCTTCATGCTTCTTCCCTCGCCAGATGGAGCAAAATTGGAATGTAAATCTGCCCTTGTTACTATCTATAAATAATAAAGTAACGTTAGAGGTCATATTCTCACTTGTGTGAGACTACACTCAAGTTCTGCTTGTCACCTATGTCCTGAAAGAACGATCTCTCAAAAGCAAACCATCCTCGGCTATCCCTGTTTCGACCAATCCCAAGGCAGTAAAATATTATGAAAAGATGCTTCTCTCTATTGGACGAGACCCAGCACTAAATGGTTTAATTAATGTGAACAACCCTATTCAGGGAAAATACATTATATATTACAAGAACATATTCCCGGTCGAATAGCAAAGGTTTCCAGAATAAATGGTTTCTACTTCATCTGAGATCAATAGCAGGAAGACAATAACTGGCGAGCTGCCACTGGGCAGTTTATTTTTCAGGCGCCTTGTCATTAAGCAGAAGGTTTAATCAGGACAAAAACTTTGCAACAGTAGTTGAAGTATCATCAAAGAGAAATATCAATGTAAAGATCATAGAGACCCTGTAGTTTGGAGTTATATCCTGGACCCAAGGAGTCCGTATGTGCATTTGAAAATTGTTCAGGAACTTCAGTTGGCTGAAAGAGCTGCAGTTGGATTGTTAATTCCATTGTGGCAACAGCTCTGCTGGTTGTTGGTCCGTTTGGGCCTTGGCGATCTGGAGAACTGTGTCTTGCTCTAAGACAGTCGTTCTCAACCTATAGGTCCAAAAATGTTTTGGTCTTCAACTCCCAGAAATCCTAACAGTTGGTAAACTGGCTGGGATTTCTGGGAGTTGTAGGCCAAAACACCTGGGGACCCACAGGTTGAGAACCACTAACCTAAGACCATGCCTTCCGCCCTACCATCATCATCTATGTTTAGTAGGATGGAAAACAGGGCTTTTTCTGTGACTGCTCTTGGGCCGCCTTTGACGTGCTTCGATGGCAACCTGCTTACTCTAGTTTTGTAGTCAGAGGTGATTCCTAACCACCAACCCCAACCCCAATAAAAGATAGTTCATAATCAGGGAAATCATAGTTTTGCCAAGGACACCAGGCTGGAATTATATAATAAGAGCTAAGCTATGGCCAATCTGCAGAAGACTAACAACCACAACAAGGACCCTTCCCATGTTAGATGGTGGGTACATTTAATTGAGATTTCTTGAAACCCTGTCACAAAAGGCATTTGACCTTTGGCCTACCCAAGCAAACACCTTGAACCATGAGTTAATGACTGTGCTGGTTGTCCCTCATACCAGTCAATAATCTACAAACAAAAGGGAATGCCAAGTAAATAATATTTTATAAGCATGCCCTTTATCTCTGAAATCCCATCTTTCCTGTCCATTCTTGCTTTCTGTATAATCTTTGACTCACCTTTTCTGATACTGGACTTCTCAATCCCTGATTTGCCTTTACCATTGCTTTCCACTCCCTCTCCCATCCCATAACTATCAGCCCATAATCCCCTATCTCTCCCCAAAATCCTGGTCCCAACTGTGCTGTTTTATCCTACGCAGGGCCCTCACAGACCCACCAATCCTCTGTGTATGTTTCCCCACGACCCCAAGGATTCATCCAGGAAGTAGTAAGAATAGTATCATCATCATCATCATCATCATCATCATCATCATCACCAGAACCAGATGACAAAGAGGGGTTGTGGGTGTCTTCTTGTGTGCCATGCTACACTTGTTACAATTTTAAAAAGCTATTTGGTGCTTTTCAGACAGTCTAACAAATCTAAAAGAAATTTAAAATATCAACTCTTTACTATTAGAAAATGTAAGTATTACAGTTTACATATTTCAGTACAACTACATTTGATAAAACTGACTTATTAAACTCTTCCCGTGTAACAATGTAACTTGAATAGCTAGCTATAATTGTACTACATTATTCCATTATACATTCTACACAAAATATATAATAATTGGGTTGTTGTAGGTTTTTTCGGGCTATATGGCCATGTTCTGGAGACATTCTCTCCTGACGTTTCACCTGCATCTATGGCAAGCATCTTCAGAGGTAGTGAGGATGCTTGCCATAGATGCAGGTGAAACGTCAGGAGAGAATGCCTCTAGGACATGGCCATATAGCCCGAAAAAACCTACAACAACCCAGTGATTCCAGCCATGAAAGCCTTTGACAATATATATAATAATGTTTCCTAAACAGAATTCCAGTCTACTTCAATTTCATTATCACTGCAAACGAATGTATTTCAAAGATGTAATTTAAGCACTCTTATCTTGTTTTCTGCTTAAACTATTTAATAGCACACAACAAAAAGACTAAAAGTGGTCAGGATGGATGTACTATGAAATACTTTTTACCTGCCATTCAATGCTTCCCGCCAACACAGGTCTAAAGAATAGAACTGGTTAATTTAAAAACATGGTCTACAGCTAGCAATCTTGCAAAAAAGAGGAAATTAGCCCAATGTTCTGATCCGAAAGAGAGTGAACACAATAATGAAGTAGTCTTTATAAAACAGGAATAGTTGAAGAAACAGTAAAACCAATGGTAATCATTCCTTTTTTGGCGGTTGACTATGCCAAACTAGGTATCGCCTTGCAGCAGAAATTGGGAAAAGAAGAATTTGGAAGGATCCAGCAGCACATCAAGAGGAGCATGCTCAGGTTAATGCACAATGGGTTTCTCATCGTAAGGGACAGTTCTTTACCCTACAAACAGCACCCAAAACTGGGCCAGTAGAGTACTACGGGGAGTGGCCAGATTGGATTTGAAATCAGGGCTGCAAGTAGATTTTGTGACAATTTACCTTAACAATATTCCTCAGTGGCATAGTCCCATGGGAGAACCGATGAACAAATATTGTTTCAATCAACCTTTTGATGTAGTGGAAAGAATGGCAGATACATGCCAAGCTAGAAACAGCAAGATAAAAGCATTTCAGAAAGCTAAAGAGACAAATAGGGCAAGACAATTGGGTTAAAGTTGTGATTCCCCCAAAGCAATTAACTCCTCTGGCCTTGAAGTGTGACTTACTTAACTACTGGATGTCGGCTCGTGGGAAACCTGTCATCCAGGCCATAGATAAAAGGCATGCGGAAATAAAACACAAAATAGATGAACAATGGGCCCGAATATTCTATTAGAAACACCTGAAAAAGAGAGAATAATTATTAGATGTCTCCCACAATCAGTCTCAGGGTACAGCCAGCTACCAAAAGGTTACATGGGACTAGATTTCCCAATCTCAACATCGACTGCCAATCTCCCACTCACTATGGATAAGAGTCCCGGGTGGCGCAGTGGATTAAACCCCTGCGCCGGCAGGACTGGTGACTGACAGGTCGGAGATTCAAATCCAGGGAGAGTGTGAATGAGCTCCCTCTGTCACCTCCAGCTCCCCTTGCAGGGACATGAGAGAAGCCTCCCACAAGGATGGTAAAATATCAAAATATCCAGGCATTCCCTGGGCAATGTCCTTGCGGACAGCCAATTCTCTCACACCAGAAGCGACTTGCAGTTTCTCAGGTTGCTTCTCACATGGAAAAACCACCATGGATACTCTGAATTTAACCCCGGGTGGCGCAATGAGTTTATTTATTTATTTATTTATTTACTGTATTTGTATATCGCCTTTCTCAGCCAATCGGCGACTCAAGGTGGTTTCCAACCCTTGTGCCGGCAGGACTGAAGACCGACAGGTCAGAAGTTCGAATCCAGGGAAAGCGCGGATGAGCTCCCTCTGTCAACTCCAGCTCCATGCGGAGACATGAGAGAAGCCTGCCACAAGGATGGTAAAACATCAAAACATCCTTGCAAACAGCCCATTCTCTCACATCAGAAGTGACTTGCAGTTTCTCAAGTCGCTCCTGACACACACACACACAAACTCACTATGGATGCTGAACCAACACTTGTAATGTGTCACAACTCGTAACCACATTTTATCCCCATTGTAGAAGGCAATGAGGCATGTGAGCATTGCTAGAGTAGGTACCCTCAAGGATAGGTAGGTCCTTAATATCAATGGATGTGAAGAGTCCAGTAAATCCAAGACATCAATGGGCAGTGGGGAACAATCTGGGAGCCTCTCAAAAATCTAGAAATGACCTTTAGAGATATGGAAATGGGGCTGAGAGACTTGGTGGAAGCTCTTCAACTAACCTTGGCTGGGCTTCTGTTTGATAGTTACACGATTATAAACTGGAGGCATGATCTCATGAACGCTGAGGATACTTCAACATGACTATCTCAAACTCATTTTTTCATTGCCTGAACTAAAGGCTTCTTGAAGCACTGCAGATTGGGAAATGATACCTGCAGAACTTTCCAGGTCATGAGGCACATCGAAACAAGCAGCTGTGGTAGGACCCCAAGAGGTCTCTCCAGATGCCTGTTCGTAAAGAACCCCATGACCAAGAGAGCATTGCAGGTGTCATTTCCAACACCAGCATTTGGTCGGACCAATGTCAGGATGAAAAGGAAATATCATTTGATGTAACTACACTGGACCAATAGTATCTGCTGCAATTTGGTTCCAGAACCCTCCAGGGATACCAAAATCTGTGGATTTTAAATTCCTATTCTACAGGACATTTAAAAAGTGCATTCAATATGGACAACAACCCTATTCTATACAATGGACTTAATACAATGCTGTCCCTTATCTACGTAAAATGGCAAAATCATGGTTGGCTTTTTGGACATTTAAACAATATTTTCAGACCATGGATAGTTGAAACTGTTCATACAGAATCTGTGGAAATGGAGGGCTGACCATACAATAACAGATCTCCATTACTGTAATCAGGAGCCTCCGGTGGCGCAATGGGTTAAACCTTTGTGCTGACAGGATTGCTGACCAAAAGGCTGGCAATTCATATTCGGGGAGTGAGGTGAGCTCCCGTCTGTCAGTTCCAGCTCCTTATGTGGGGACATGAGAGAAGCCTCCCACAGGATGGTAAAACATCCGGGTATCCCCTGGGCAATGTCCTTGCAGACAGACAATTCTCTCACACCAGAAGTGACTTGCAGTTTCTCAAGTCGCTCCTGACACGAAATAATAATAATAATAATAATAATAATAATAATAATAATAATAATAATACATCCAGCATAGAGATCTCGTTTGCTGTGACATACTGTGGTTTTGTGTCAGTAAAATAATAATAATAATAATAATAATAATAATAATAATAATAACTTCTGACAATGCAGAATCTTTGCCCTTATATTTATATGCCAGCATGGTCACAATAGGCAAAACAAAAACTTATACACAGGCAATGAGCTGGAGAACAGGCAGATGTACCCTCCTATGGCTCCCTGCATTTTAAGCCTGCAATATTTCCTTAAGTTATACTGCTTTTCACCTTCACTTACAGTGGGCTGCCAAGAGAGAGAGAGAGAGCATGACTATACAGTCTTTTTTTCACAAGAAAGTCTTAGAAGTAAAATGCAAAATAGTAAATACTCTACAGCTTACTGACTTTTCTGAGCTGGTTACCAAGGCTATTGTCTACCAATGGCTGCTTGGCTGCCTGAAGCCTGCTGAGTGAACAAGCTGTTAACATATCATATAAGATCACCTTGCCTTCTTCTACAGCAGTGATGGGAATTATACAGCCTTCCAGATGTTTATGAACTGCAATTCCAGCAAACCTGAGCAGCATAGCAAATAGTGAGGAATGATGGAATTGCAGTCTAACATCATCTGAGGGTCTCATGCTTTTTAGGGCACTTCCAGACAGCACAAAAATGTGCATTTCAAATGAAGAATAAAAAAATCCCAGGACCTGAAAAGGGGGTGGAGGGTGGATGGGGGAGATCCGGTGGAAAGTTTTTTTAAAAATCAGTCCATTATGTGTTAGACCATATATCCACACATGCAAATATCTTAATATAAATACTAGTAGATTTGCATGTGCGCATATGAGGTTCAGCACATAACAGAGGGATTTTTTTAAAAAACCTCTGCCGGATTTCTCTCTTCCCTCAATTGTTTATTCAAGCTCTGTTTAATATTGCAAAGTTTAAAATAAAGAGATTCAGATAGTTTGAATTGCTCTCCATTCGTGCTTCCTTCAAACCAGATGTGTGTCCGTTTCACAGCCCAGTCACCTGATTGGTCATTTCGTACTTTTAAAAAGAACTGTGCTAGAGCAGTCTCCACCATGGGGAGGGAAGGAAATCATGTGTTTTTTGTGAGTGCAGGGATATACAGTGATGCAAAAATATGAATTTTCCAGAAAGAATGGCGATAACAGGGGACCTTTTACCCAGTGTTTTTTGTCTGTTGCAGTGAATCAGCGCTGATTTACTGCTAACATCATGTAGCCCCCTTTTAACTCGGGAACTCCTGTGTTTTAGGTGTTGTGTAGATGAGCCCTTGCTCTTGTTTTATAAACTACTGTCTCATACTGCTGTCATATCTATTGTTTATGTCCCCTAATGCCATGTGGGAAGCATGGGGCATTTTTGCTAGTATTTACTCCTCTCTGGGCCATTTGAAGCCCAGAAGAGGTCTTAGAAGTGACAAAGAAGTGACAGAGTAACAAATACTTGTCATTCTTTCTAAGGAGAAAATAGTCCACATCAGGGTCGCACTTCATATCTTCAATTTCTACTTGGCATAGGGTTCAGTTAGAAAAAAAGTAGAAAACTTGCCAGACTTGGCTGGGGATTCTGGGAGCTGTGGCCTCAAAAGGTAAGTTGCATAAGCTCTGGGATAGGCAGTTTCCCTCAGGGCCAATTGCCCTGATTTATAAGGACTGGATATAACCCTTGGATTTTTCCACCTCTGCCTCAAAGTGCTTCCCAAACACTGCTTTTTCTTTTTGTCGTGTTGCTGGGCAACAACTGCTGCTTTGCACTGTATTTATCTGCCAAGTTTTTTGTGGCAATTATATATTTTCCCTGCGGATTCTTCATCCCACCATTTTATAAGCTTACAGAAATGGACAAAAATAACAGCCGAGGAGAGAGAAAGAGACTTGGCTATTTGTAGAACATTCAAGAACTTTACTAGGATGAATTCTAGTAAAACAGTCCTTAAAATGTCTGAAATGCTGAAGCTCACCATCGTCCATCCAAGTTGGGGCCCCAAATCTTTAAAATAGAGCGTAGCGGTTGTGCCAACAGGGAGCAGCTGGATCATTTCTTCATCCTTCAGTGATTTTCCTTCTGAGGAAAGAGAGGAAGGGTTACAAGGCTTGGTGTCAGGAGAGATGAAGTGAAGCATGCATGGGCTGCTCATCCAATCTGGCATTTTCTGATGACCTATTGGCACTGCATCAGGCAGGATCCCAACCATTTAGCCAATATTCTCAGCTAATTGGGGGCCCTTCCACACAGCCCTGTATCCCAGAATATCAAGGTAGGACATCCCACAATATCTGCTTTGAACTGGGTTATCTGAGTCCACACTCTGATAATATGCGATTTTCTGCCTTGATATTCTGGGATATAGGGCTGTGTGGAAGGGCCCTGGGACAAACTGGAAGGGAACTGGTGAAATATGTTTCTATTATTTGCCGGGTTTTAGCACAGATGGGCCGGGCTTTAGCACAGCGGGTTAAACCGGCAGCTGTAGAAAATCTAGCCAATCAAAAGGCTGGCAGTTCAAGCCGGGGTCAGCCCAGCTTCTGCTCATCTAGCAAATCAAAAACAGCAATTGTGAGTAGATAAATAGGTACTGCTTTAGAGGGGAGGTAATAAAAGGCACTGGTGATTTGATTTGGAGGACATTTACCAACAACAAAAGCTCCACAGCATGGAAGATGGAGCAACAGCACACACACATGAACATGCAGCTGGAGTTGAGCTAAGTCTTCAGATGCTGGAGATGGAAAAAGATAGTAAAGCCTGTTGTTGTTGTTCATTCGTTCAGTCGTCTCCGACTCTTCGTGACCTCATGGACCAGCCCACGCCAGAGCTCCCTGTCGGCCGTTACCACCCCCAGCTCCCTCAAGGTCAGTCCAGTCACTTCAAGGATGCCATCCATCCATCTTGCCCTTGGTCGGCCCCTCTTCCTTTTGCCTTCCACTTTCCCCAGCATAATTGTCTTCTCTAGGCTTTCCTGTCTCCTCATGATGTGGCCAAAGTACTTCAACTTTGTCTCTAGTAGTAAAGCCTACACCACTGTTTTTGTATTGCCTATCCTTGTTAATTGTATAACGGCACTGAACGGTTGCCATATATGTGCTCTGTAATCTTCCCAGAGACCCCTCAGGGAGATAGAGCGGAATATAAGTAAAGTATATCATAAGCCCTGTGTTTTCTCTTGAAAGAATATGCCATATAGTATAGTCTAGTACAGGCAGTCTCCAAGTTACGAACAAGGTAGGTTCTGTAAGCTTATTCTTAAACTGCATTTGTATGTAAGTCAGAATAGATATATTTTTAAGTGTAACACCAGCCATTTATGTATGTATGTATGCATGCATGTATGTATGTATGTATGTATATGTGTGTGTGTTTGCATGTGTGTGTATGTGTGTATGTATACGTATTATTATTATTATTATTATTATTATTATTATTATTTTGATTGCACAGAAATCCTAAAATATATGACAGCCGCAATACAGGCCACGATAGCCCGAGGATGGAGAGACAATACAAGATGGGATTTAGAAACTTGGTGGACGTATCTATCAGAATATATAATCAATGATTTCATCAACCAAAGGAAAAACAAGTATATAAATAGTCATACAGAACAAGACTGGTACAGGAAATGGTCTGTTCTAATTGACAAAATAGATGGAGACAGCAGATATACCATCTTGAGCCAGGCTTTCTACATGGTCAAACTGATGCAATGACATCATTTAGAGTTGCTGAAATAAGTCTTGTATGGCAAAAGTTTGTTAATGGTTGGGATGTATCAAATAAAATTTATAATAAAAAACATTATTATTTTACTGATACAAAAACAAAGTATGTCACAGCAAACTAGATATATATGCTGGATTTTGTATTCCAAAATCACAAGTCGAACACTTCCCAAGTGTATTATTATTATTATTATTGACACAAAAGCACAGTATGTCACAGCAAATGAGATCTATATGCTGGATTTCGTATCACAAAATCACAAGTCGAACACTTCCCAAGCGTCTAGGACTGTGTGATGTATTTGGCGCGCAGATCCAAGTAAGGTGGCCTTTTGCTGTTGACAGATCGTGATTTTGTCAATGTTTATTGTTTCCAAATGCTGTCTGAGATCTTTTGGCACGGCACCCAGTGTGCCAATGACCACTGGGACCACCTGTACTGGTTTATGCCAGAGCCTTTGCAGTTCGATTTTGAGGTCTTGATAGCGGCTGAGTTTTTCCTGTTGTTTTTCTCAATGCGACTGTCACCCGGTATGGCGACATCAATAATCCAGACTTTTTTCTTTTCCACAATCGTGATGTCTGGTGCATTGTGTTCCAAAACTTTGTCAGTCTGGATTCGAAAGTCCCACAGTATTTTCGCATGTTCATTTTCCACGACCTTTGCGGGTTTATGATCCCACCAATTCTTTACTGCTGGCAGGTGGTACTTGTGACATAAGTTCCAGTGAATCATTTGGGCCACAGAGTTGTGCCTCTGTTTGTAGTCCGTCTATTATTATTATTATTATTATTATTATTATTATTATTATTATTATTATTATTATTATTTGCTATGGATAGCATAGAAAAGGGGAAACCCCCCTGTGGTGTTTGTTTTACTGTTTGTGCCCCTGTTCAGAAGATTTCATCTCCCTTTCTGTCCCTGAGAAAACTGGATTTTGAAAAATTTGGCTTGTTATGGAAGCAAAGACTGGTGATAAAGCTTTAGTGGAGGCCCCTTTTCCCCCACAATAATTCTTCCAGGAGTGAATTTCCCTTCCAAGGGGTAGATTTCTCTTAGTTCCTGTTGTCTCACCCCCGTTCTTAACTGTGGGTCATTTGTAAGTCAGATGTTTGTAACTCGCGGACTGCCTGTATAGCATAGTATAGCACAGCATAGCAATAATCAATATACACAAATCCATGAATGCTTAACTCAGAAATATGGAAGGATGACTGCATCTCCACAAACATCTCATCTGCCACATCATTGAGACAAACAACTAAACCTGGGCTCTCCAATACTAAGCCAACAGATTACAAGGTCTGGGAAATACTGCTGAGCTGGTAAGATTTCAAAAAAGATCCCACTAGTAGACTGTGGGCCCTAACCTTAACCCTAACCCTTCCACACAGCCATATAACCCAAAATATCAAGGCAGAAAATTCCACAATATCTGCTTTGAACTGGGTTATCTGAGTCCACACTGTCATATATTCCAGTTCAAATCAGATAATGTAGGGTTTTATTCAGCTGTGTGGAAAGGGGCCTGTGTGCCTTATAAACCAAATTGGCTACCCTAGTCTTAAGCCATTTCGCACTTTCATTGTGTTGATGACTGATGACATGACCACACCAATTATCAACACAATGGAAGTGTGAAAGAGCTGCAACCTGGACTGGTGAAAGGACCAGTATAAAGATGTAGCAACGGATCTTCAATATATTGATGAGGTATCATTTGTATTTTGACTACCACCACCACCTTCATCATCTACTTACGGGGATCGAGTCTCATAGACTGCCTTGCTGGATACCACTGGGGATCTGCAGAGATTAACAAAAAGAAATCACATTAAAAATCGCTCCCAACTACTTAGTGTTGATATCTTCTAATTTAACCCCTGTGGATCTTAAATTATCTTGCTTCCTGCTAATCACACTCCTTATAATGTAGTCATCTTTTCCCTTTTCAGTTAATTATCTTGCTTTTTTTCTTCTAGAGTTATACAACACTCATTATTTTTGCTGAGATTTTCTAAGAAGCGCCCGTTCTCCATCTAAGTAAAGAAACAAGGAGCATTTTGCATAAGCTGCACTGCTACATCAACCCACAGTTTTTTGCCATGGCTCCTAAGCTCTTCAGCAATCAAAATAATAAAAAAACATGTATTTGAACCTCTGCAAAACACAGGCTACCTAGGAACTCTTCCATATTCTATGCAATTAAATATATTCCTTCACTATTGATCTTAGGTAAAGGTAAAGATTTCTCCTGACATTAAGTCTAGCCATGTCCAACTCTAGGAGGTGGTGCTCATCTCCATTTCTAAGACGAAGAGCCGGCGTTGTCCGCAGACACCTCCAAGGTAATGTGGCCAGCATGACTGCATGGAGTGCCATTACCTTCCCGTAGAAGCGGTACTTATTGCTCTACTCACATTTGCATGTTTTTGAACGGCTAGGTTGGCAGAAACTGATTATTATTTTTGATCTTATTTTTAAATAATTTTTGAAAAACATACATACTTACATATTTTATGGAACATTAGTCTAATATCATTTATTGTAGCACGTGGCTCAACCTAGGGAACAAAAAGATTACATATTAAAAGGATATTCATGACGATTCGTTTTTTATTATTATTATTTTGGAAAATGAAAGAAATGCCAAGCTAGCTTTCCTGCTCAGAACAGGAATAATGGTACTAACTTACTTTACATGGGTTTTTAAAATATTGCTGAGAAAAACATCTCTAAAGAAATCTGAGAATCCAAAGAAGGCTAACTGAAAAGTGGGAGTAAAAATATTGTTTACCTTTTCCAAAAAGCATAGTTGTTGCTTTGTCTTCCAATCAAGGATTTCCACCTAATGGATGAAACCAAGTGGAAAAGTCAGCAAGATGCCAATAGCTCTTCAGACCATTATTTTATGTGAATTGGCTGCTGCAGGCAGTAGATTTGGATATCATGGAAAGGGCAACACATTCTTAGTTATGGATTTTATTATTTGTTGTTCCTCTTCAAGTCATTTCTGATGTATGGTGTCCTTATCACTGGTGAGATTTGTTTATTGGCAAGATTAGTTCAAAAGGATTTTGCCTTTTGCCTTCCTTGGAAGCTTATTTTTTATTTATCGTATCAGAAGCAAACCAAGGGTACAGCTGTATCTTTTGAAGCTGAGAAAGTATGATTTACTCATGGTTACCCAGTGGCTTTTTTTGGAGGAGAGAGGTGGAAACAATCCCTCCATCACGTGGAGTGGTGAATCTGCTCTTAACATCATTAAGAGATGCTTACGGTCCACTGAAGCTGGATCTACACTGCCAAATGAAGCGGTTTCAGAATGCAGAATGATACCCAGGGCCCTTCCACACAGCCCTATATCCCAGCATATTAAGGCAGAAAATCCCACAATATCTGCTTTGAACTGGGTTAATGTACATGCGCCCCGCTCACTGTCAGTATGTTTGTTTATTGTTTTTCATGTTTTTTGTAGATTGTTTACTACATTCATATGTTTTGAATTTTACTGTGATATTGTTTGCATTTCAGTTGTTATTTTACTGTATTTTATTTCATTGTAATTTGGAGATGTGTATTTGTGTGTCATTGTTGTTGGTTTTTTCTGTATTAAAGCATGGAATGTTTGCCTGTCTGTGTATGTTGTAATCTGCTCTTAGTCCCCTTGAGGAGATAGAGTAGAATATAAATAAAGTGCTGTTGTTGTTGTTGTTGTTGTTATATTGCTATAGCCAACTAGTCATTGGGGCGCTTCCAGTTTTCTTATAGCTTACTTTATAACATTCAAAACACAGTGTATATATTATCATATTACTTTAATTTCCAAGAAAAACATTTTCTTTGCAAAATTCCATAACATCACATAAATCCCAAACAATTTAGTGGGGTTTTCTTATAAATAGATAGACCCATGAATCAAAATGCCTTGCCCTTTACTTTACTTTTACTACTACTCATTGGGTTGCTCTCCCTTCTTTTCTTTTAAAACCCTCCTACCAGATACATCCCACCTCTGTTCATGCCCAGGGTTTATTTTTTAAATTTTAAATTATTACATTTGGCCCGGCCATAGGTTTTTTTTTATCCTTGTGTGTTATTGTTTATATGTGAGTTATATTAATTGTATTGTTTTTACTTATTGTATTTTGTTTTATTGATGTGTTGTCGGGCTTGGCGTCATGTAAGCTGCTCCGAGTCCCCTTGGGGAGATGGTGGTGGGGCATAAATAAAGGTTATTATTATTATTATTATTATTATTATTATTATTATTATTATTATTATTATTATTTCTATGGATGCAAATAATGCTTTAAAAACGACAGCGCAAAACATCTTTTCCCAAACTATGGTACCTGAAATATGTATTGATAAAAGGGGAATAGGAAAAGCCAAATAACAGCACTGAAATGAATAGGTACGAAACGCTTGTAGATTGTTCCATTTTTAAAAGCGCAATCAGAGGAATGCTCCAGGGCCCGATTAGCACAGCTTTACATTTATGGCTATAGCCACTTTTATTTGGAACAGCACTTTCCTGCTGCTCGCTTGTTCTGCTTGGTACTTAGAAAGTGAATGCCATATTGATTTTTTAAAAATCACTCACAAGAAAAATGCTTACTTCACAATGCATGAATAAGGAGGCCAGAGTAAGAGCTGCAAACAAGGAACTTAATCTTGCCTGCTCTGCTAGAAAGTGCTTATGTAAGCGAGCCTCCCCTTTGATTTAATTATGGATCGGGCATCGTTTCTCTCCTCACACCCCAACCGTATGATTATTTCTTAGTAGTCAAACGAATCTTTCCAAGCATTTTTCTGTATAGGGCTATTTTCAGATCAAAATTACCTTCAGAACTGGCACCAAACCAAGCCAGAAAAGTCATTCTTTGCTATGTTGTGTTGCTAAGCAGCAGGATTGGAGGCAACACAAACTGATGCTTGCCTGGAAAGATTATGCGAACGTCCCACTGATGATGACCGTGACACAAATGGATCAAAGCGGGTTTGGATACCTAAGGGCCTGTCCAAACAGTACCTTTATCCCAGGATCTTCCACAGCAAACAGGAGGGTAGCCAAATATCGTTCTCTGTAAACGCAGAAGTAATCGCTACAAAAAGGCAAAAAAAAAAAAAAACCACGGGATTTCCAGGTGCAGGAATATCGTGGTTTTGAGCCGAATATGAGGCTCTTCGCATTTCCGCGTGTCCCTGAAATTGGAAATCATGGGATTTTTTATCTGTGTTTGCTCCCAAGTTTTAGATTTTGTTCCTAATTTGTCAGTTTCTAAGAAGAAGGTGACACTTGAGTAGAAGGCAAAAACTTTGTTTGTGTGCCAGAAACTTTATGAAACATGTGGAAGGCCCAGTTTTTCTGGTCAGGTTAAGAACTGAACTTTTGCAGTGATTTGCTGCAGTGATTCTCTCCATATCCACATCTTTCTGGTGGACACCCTGCAGCGGCCATCTTGGGAGCCTCTAAATCTCACAATAAAGCATCAAGTCTGGATAACGGAGACAGAAATCCCGAGCCCAACAGGTTTGTATGTGGACCTCTTCTGAAGTCCTGGGATTTTTTGCCCCTGTTTAAAACCTGTGATTTAATGCTGTCTCGAAGTGCCCTAAGTCTCTTCCTGGCCATTGCTCTATCCTCTCCTGAGCTCACTCAACTAAGTGTTGAAACTTCATCTGCTACTAGTCCCACCATCATTTCAAATATGTTAAATGAACGCACCATAAATGTACACACTTGTAAGTCCTCCTTGGATCTTTCCCACAGATAACCTAAACCATTCTGATAAGGAGAAGCAGAGCTACACCAATGGCCTCCTTTCATTTTGTATTCATTCCACTGTCTGAAAAAGTTCACCCACCTGCCCAGAAGGTCCCATTCACAAGAAGTATGTGCATCTGTACAGCCGTTTTTTATTTTAAAATATATACTGTACCCTTTTACTAAAAAGGGCATTCAGAACAAACAACAATCTGAACTTACCTGGAAACAAAATATTTATTCAAAATAGTAACATAAAATAAGTGAATTTAAACCATAACTAAATACACGGCAATGAAAGACATGTCCCTTTTTGCTCCATTTTTAGTATATGAGTAAACATGTGGAAGCGGACCAAAAAGAAAAGCAACTGAGGGTGGCCAATTTATTTCCTAGAGATACACTGGTTTTAAAAAATGATTGAATAGATAGTGAATAGTCCCAGACGGAAACAATGTTAGGTTTACCAAGACTCCTGAGTCACAGTGGGGACCCCATCTAAACTGCCATATAATCCAGACTCTGAATCAAGAGATAGTACAAGGGGTATTTTCACACTACCTAGTTACAGCACTAAAATTCCACTGTATTTGCCACAGCAACGTCCTATAGTAATCTGGAATTTATAGTTTAGAAAGGGGTATTTAGAAACCTCAGCCAGAGAGCTTTAGTGGCCCATATTAAACTAAAAAACTCCAAAATTCCATAGGATGTTGCCATGGCAGAAAAAGTGGGACCATAGTGCTTTAAATTGTGTAGTGATGTGGTTCCCAACCTGTGGGTGCCCAGGTGTTTTGGCCTACAGCTCTCAGAAATCCCAGCCAGTTTACCTGCTGTTAGGATTTCTGGGAGTTGAAGGCCAAAACATCTAGGAACCCACAGGTTGAGAACCACTGGTATAGTGCAAAAGAGCCCTGATATATAAAAAGGGCAGAGCCTGGATGTGCCTGGCAGACACGGAGCTGTAATAATAGCATTGCTGTCTGATGCAAAATATAAAATTGTATGCTAATGCCTTTATGTTAAGCTGCTTTGGCTCCCCTTCAGGAGAGATAAAGCGTGGTATAAATAAATATAATAGATATATTTTATCGGTTTTATACTAATTTATGCAATGCTTTTGATACGAAATAAATAAAAAAAGAGGTATAACAACAACAACAAAAATAAGAATAAGCTTTCTCCTCATCTCACATACAAAACCAATGGTCAGCTGAAGCCAGATCCAGACAGGCCTTTATCCCAGAAGCATCTGCGATTTAAAAAACCCACGGATGTTTCTGGGGGCCTGTCCAAACCCACCCCAGAAAGTGAGCGCTTTCTGGGATGGGTGTCCAGACATTCTCTTGGGACTAGCCCTACCCTCCTCCCCACAAGCCTCCAGACCCCTTAGAAAAGTAATAAAAACGTACTCGTCCTCCATTACAAGCCTCGGTCAGCTCTCCTGGCACATAGAAATGACGCACCAAGAGAGCGTGGGGGGGGGGGTGTGTGATTTTCCTCCCTCCTCCTTCTCTAAGAAGGCGCAGAATAGTAAGTCCACTATCAAATTCATTCGCTACAAGCCAGGGTTTTCCTGGTTTGTAGCGAATGCATTCAGTACTGTCCAGAACCTTGTCTGGACAGCCCCTCCTTTATTGTGGTAGATACCGCAATAAAGGTCCTGTCAGGACGGGCCCTGGGTCTTATTTGGTGCCTGAAAATTAAATTACACAAGTGACTAAAGTGCAGAGCAAAGAAACCTTACCCAACACTGTGCAACTTACTTTGAATTAGGGTTTCCAATTCCTTAACAGCTCACTCCTGGAGATTTCAGGTTGAAACCTGAGAGCAAGAGAGATGAACCTTTGAGATGTTACAGAGATGGGTTAAGAAAAAAATCAGTCTGGACAATTCTACATAGGGACTACCAAACGCAGCACCCAAACATGAATCGAGGAACATGAAAGGCACTGCAGACTACTTCAACCAGAGAAGTCAGCCATAGCAGAGCACCTGATGAACCAGCCTGGACACAGCATATTATTTGAGAACACAGAAATGCTGGACCACTCTCACAACCACCATGTCAGACTACACAGAGAAGCCATTGAAATCCAAGCATGTGGACAATTTCAACAGAAAGGAGGAAACCATGAAAATGAACAAAATCTGGCTACCAGTATTAAAAAACTCTAAAATTACAACAGCAACAACAGAGAGGAAACAAACAAGGACATCTAATCACCTCTCAACAAAAGTTTGCTCCAGGCACTGTCAGGCCATTATATGGTAATCAAGGTGGTCAGTTGAAACATTCACACCTAGCTCCAGCAGACAAGAGTCCTTTGTCCCACCCTGGTCATTCCACAGATATATAAACCCTTTTTCCTAGTTCCAACAGACCTCACTACCTCTGAGGATGCTTGCCATAGATGCAGGCGAAACGTCAGGAGAGAATACCTCTAGACCCTGGCCATATAGCCCGAAAAAAACTACAACAACCTCAGTCTGGAACTGTTTTCCATTTCATCTGATTATGGAAATAAGTATAAGGGCAATCTAATAAAATCAGCCCAGAGTTTGAATTAAATTCAGCTAACCAGTGGAGTGAGGTTAGGAAGGTGGTAACATTTTTCAGCAACTGGGCAAATGTCGCAATGTAGCCAGCAGTGACACAGTTGCCAAAATTCCTACTAGATCCCGCTTATATCCTTTTTTTGCTTTCCCTACAGGATACTTGGCATGTGTGGAGTTTTTCCAGTCCCTGCTGTTGCATGCTGGTGTTTTTGAAAAGCTCACTGTAAGCCCATAGGAAGCTTTTCTAAGACTGCCGCCTCCAGGGCTGATTCAAGAAAGCTCAAAAGGCTCAGTGATGGCATCCATACCCTGACTTGCTCCAGATAGTAGGTTTGCCTGCGGACGCATTCTCAAGTCCCCTCTTGTTCCTCTTGGCTTACAGATATATTACTGCTGCACAAGTGCAACACTTTTGTGTCATGTCAGAGAGCCCTGGAGCCAAGTGGGAATGAGTGGAGGTGGGAACTTAGAGATAATAATAATCTTTATAAATAAAAATGTAATGTTCGTTTGTCAGATTAACATAACTCAAAAACCACTAGACGAATTGCCCCCAAATTTGGCCACAAGACACCTACTAACCCAAGGAGTGACCATTACTCACAAAAATTGAGTTTGCCATTTTGGAGTTGTAATTGCTGAGATTTATAGTTTACTTACAATCAAAGAGCATTCTGAACTCCACCAATGATAGAATTGAACCAAATGTGGCACACAGGACTCCCATGACCAACAGATAACACTAAAAGGGTTTGGTGGGCATTGACCTTGAGTTTTGGAGTTGTAGTTCACCTACATTCAGAGAGCACTGTGGACTCAAGCAATGATGTATCTGGACCAAACTTGGCACAAATATTTCATATACCCAAATATGAACATAGATGGAGTTTGGGGGAAACAGACCTTGACATTTGGGAGTTGTAGTTACTGGGATTTATAGTTCACCTACAATCAAAGACAGAATTGGGGCAAACTTCCCACATAGAACCCCCATACTTAAGCCCATCAAGTCCAACTCCCTACACCAGGGAGTCAAAGCCCTCCTGACAAAGAGCCATCCAGCTATATAGACAGATATGATACACACACAGAGATATAGTATCCTAGATTTGGAAGGGACTCCTAAAGAAGGACAATGATATGTTGCATGTTCCAGAGTAGGCAAAGAAAACAATCTCCACATCAACACTGACAAAGAAACAACAAGAAATACTGTTTACCCACAAGCATAAAGAAATTTCATATATTAGAAACGAACACTTTCTCATTACTTTATTTTCCAGATCACCAGACTGGACCACAGCAACATGTGGCAGGGGACGGCTAGTAGTAGTAGTAGTAGTAGTAGTAGTAGTAGTAATAATAATAATAATAATAATAATACTTTATTTGTATCTCCCCAAGAGGACTCTGGGTGGCTTACAAAAGCACTCAACAGTGCAGACATATAGTACAGCAAGTAAATAAGCGAAATAGCACAATAGCAAAAACATGTAATCATGCTACATAAAACATCATATAAACCCCCAACTCCTTTTAAAAATTCTATAAAATGCAGCTATGGCTGCGGATATAAAAATAAACTGTACTAACATCAATCCAGTAAGGTGATACTAACCACTAGGTGGTATCTAACCACTAGGTCCCCAAGAATACAGCTAGGGTTCTAAACATTGTCAAATACCTGTTTGAAATACCATGTTTTCATATTTGATCTGAAAACTTGAAGGATGGGTGCTAACCTAATCTCTTTAGAGAGGGCATTCCAGAGTGGCAGGCCCCCACCGAGTAGGCTTTCTCTTTTGTCCCCACCAACCACACTTGAGATGAAGGTGGGACTGAGAAAAGGGCGTCCCCAGATCTTAGAGCCTGCACCGGTTCATAGAAAGCAGCCCCATGTAGAGTAATCTATTCTGGATGTGACTAAGGCATGGACCACAATGGCCAAGTTAGGCTTTTCAAGGTACAGCCGCAGCTGGCGCACAAGTTTTAACTGTGTGAAGGTTTAAACAGTAGATAGGAATCACATAGTTATCCACGTGTTGTTTAAGTGCTCTCAGTATTCCTCGCCATGTTGGCTATGGCTGCTGAGAGTTGCAATCCAATTGTATTGAAGTCTATACAATTCCCGACCCTGCTAAAAAACAGCCTCAACTATCACACTCAGACATTCTCCTGTTCCAGTGCCTCTTCCACTCACCCTGAGAGCCCCTCCAGACAGGCCCAAAAACTGGGAAAAGATGTCTTTAGTCAAACCAAATTAATTTGGAACCAAGGTTTCCTCACGCCAGGGGATGTGATAGAGGAACGTAATGGTATCCGGTTAAGTTTTATTTACTCTTTAAGGGTACATTTGGGGAGCTTTGGTGTGGCTGCATGCCATCCCAATTGTTATAGGTATGGCACGTAGCCATCCTCCCCAGGAAAGCCTGGTTTTTTTGGTGGGAGTGGGGACAAAAATCCACACTAAAGCAGGTTTTTAAAACTCACTTTGGCGTGGACTTTTGAGCTTTGTGGAAGCGCCCTGAGACTCATGTCACCACTTAAGAGACCTCATTACTTGAGACTGCTGACAATATTCTGGGATTTGGCAACCCTCAGCTCCACTTGATCCCAAAATGATTGCTACAATTGGTGATTAAGGGTAAATCTACACTGTACAATTAATGCATGAATTAATTCATGGCTCAATGTTATGAGATGATACGCACTGTAGTTTGACAACGTCTTTACTCTTCCAAAGAATGCTGGTGCCTCAACAAACTATAAATCCCATGGTTTCGTAGTACAGAGCCATGGCTATTAACATGGTATCGAACTGAATTAATTCTACAGCATAAATGCACCTTAAGAGCTTGCTGAGTCAACAACACAAAGTCAGATGAAAGTTGTCCTGAATTCAGTCCCTGCCCCAGCCAAAGGATATAGGAAATTCCTGCAGTTCTCTCTCAAGTTTTACATAGTGCCTGCATTTCTGGGTTGGGGGAGGTTTGGAACTGTTTTATTGCCAGCTGACTCCAGCAGATCCTGCTGCTTGCCTGCCTTTGAGATCAGCTGGCAAAAGGGCAGAAGTTCAGCCAACAGAAGAAACTTCTGCCTGTTCTCAGCCTCAAAGAGTACGCACACCATTGAATTGGAATTCTACTTTCAAAGCTCTGCTGATCACTTCCCAGATGGCTCTCCTCCAGGCCCCTGTACGTACGTATAATGCTTTGCATCCTACTGACATTACAAAGTTACCCATTAAAATGAACAAAATATATTCAGGGAAGCGATCTGTAAACTGCCTTGCCATTGCTTTGGGGCTGGTTCTTGCACACTGATTTGCTTTTTAAATACAGAATATAAAAAGACCCTCAAACACAGTTTGCTTTCGGAGTCGAACACTTCAAGCACAAGTTGTTTAAAGAGCTGAGCCAAAGAAGCTGAATATTCTTTTCAGCCCAGAAAATGCCCCGGGCATTATATTTAGTATTCAGTACCACTGGGCTCTGAAGTGCATGAAATTATAATGCAAAGCATGTATTTTATTCATGAGTTGTTGTTTTTTCTTTTCATTTTAGGAAGCCATCCAACCACACTCAAGATCAATCTAAATTGCAGGATTTCCATTCCTCTGACAACTGGAAAGAATAGAATAATTGAAGCGTTACTAGGAACCTCAGCTCAACTAGCACTAATATCTGTTACAGTCGCTCATTAATCGTCTAGAAGAGCTCAACTTCCTTTTTCTAGTTGTTTTCTGGAACAATAGCTGCATTGTGCTAAACTACATACAATTTAATGAAATATGAACTAGGCTAGATTTCCACCAGGCCTCTCGTTCTTCTCAGATCCCTTCCACACAGCTGAATAAAATTCCACATTTTCTGCTTTGAACTGGAATATATGGCAGTGTGGATTCGAATATCTCACTTCAAAGCAGATATTGTGGGATTTTCTGCCTTGATATTCTGAGTTATATGGCTGTGTTGAAGTGGCCCCAGCCAATGTGGTCCTATGGACCTGATAAGTTTACTGCTTTAAACAAACCTGCTTCATAAACCATGATGTGGAATATGAGGTTGTCTGAAACTAACCACCAGACAATTTGTTTAGCTCAGTGTTTCTCAAACGATGCTCTTCCAGATGTATTGGACACCAGCTCCCATGATTCCTAATAGCTGGTAAGCTGGCTAGGATTTCTGCAAGCTCAAGTCCAAAACACCAGGAGTTCAAAACATCTGAAGGAACCCATTTTGAGAAACACCGGTTCAGCTTATGGT